ATATATATATATATATATATATATATATATATATATATATATATATATATATATATATATATATATATATATATATATATATATATATATATATATATATATATATATATATATATATATATATATATATATATATATATATATATATATATATATATATATATATATATATATATATATATATATATATATATATATATATATATATATATATATATATATATATATATATATATATATATATATATATATATATATATATAAGCCCCTCGGACATAAAGTCATTATCAGGTTGTATGTGTCTGATCATGTAGTGTCGGTTTATAAAAAGCCCTAACTATTTACATGTCTATTTTCCACAACAATTCCCCAGAGTTTATTTTAAGACTCATTTTTCTTCGTATGGGGGAGCGTACAGCTTGTGCTACCCAACCTTTATGAGGGGGTGTTGATGCTACTAGACCCTTGTGAGGGGAGTGTTGATGTTACTCGACCTTTGTGAGGGGAATGTTTAACTGAAGCAGAAAGATGCCTTGAGCGAGTTTGCGAGAAAAACTCGGAGGCTCATCCGACTTATGCGGGCAGAGGCTTGGAGGCTTAACCTATTTTAAAGTTTCAGAGCCCCTTGCAAGGATACACTGAGGACGGTTTGAGAGCCTTGGCGAGGTTGACCGTATGAGAGGCTTAGAGTGCGCGTCGACTTAAGTTTTTGCTCGGGAGTTACCACAAAAAGAGTTACCACTTGGCAAGGAGTATCACAATAGGAGTCAGCCTCTTTGTTTGCGTATAGGCCTGGTATATTCATGATCATCAAGGGATGCCAACCCCTGTCCATATATAAAGGTCAAGATACACAGGCTATAAAGTTGACCATAGTCGACTCAGAGGTACAACTTTTGAGTGTGCCTGGTTAAAGTACATAACTTGGAAGATTACAGTTGAGGTAGCTTAAGTTTGAAGCGAGATGTAATGTTCGGAAGGTTACACCTGAGGTAGATCAAGATATGAACCAAGGTGCCTAGCCCGGAAAGGTTACACCTGAGGCGGCTCAAGTTTTAAACTGGATATAGTGTTCGAAAGGTTACACCTGAGGCGAATCAAGATATGAACCAGGGTGCCTAGCCCGAAAAGGTTACACCTGAGGCGGCTCAAGTTTTGAACGCAGATGTAGAGCCTTCGAAGGGGCGGAATTCGATTAAAGTACATCACCGAAAAGGTTACACTTAAAGCGGATTAAGATATGAATTGAGGTGTGGAGCCTTTCGAAGGGGCAGAATCCGATTAAGGTACATCACCAGAAAGGTTACATCTTAAGCGGATCAAGATATGAACTGAGGTGTGGAGCCTTTCAAATGGGCAGAATCTGATTAAGATACATTGTCGAAAAGGTTACACCTGAAGCACATCAAGATATGAACCGAGGTGTAGAACCTTTCGAAGGGGCGGAACCCGATTAATGTACATCGCCGAAAAGGTTCTGAAGTGGATCAAGATATAAACTAAGGTGTGGAGCCTTTTTAAGGAGCGAAATCTGATTAAGGTACATTGTAGAAAAGGTTACACCTGAAGCGGATCAAGATATGAACCGAGGTGTGTAGCCTTTCGAAGGGGAGGAATCAGATTAAGGTACATCGTCGGAAAGGTTACACCTGAAATGGATCAAAATATGAACCAAGGTGTAGAGCCTTTCGAAGGGGCGGAATCGATTAAGGTACATCGTCGAAAATGTTACACTTGAAGCGGATCAAGATATGAATCAAGGTGTAGAGTCTTTCGAAGGGGTGGAATCCGATTAAGGTACATCACCGAAAAAGTTACAACTGGAGCGGATCAAGATATGAACCGAGGTGTAGAGCCTTTCGAAGGGGCGGGATCTGATTAAGGTACATCGCCTGGGAGCTTGCACCTGAGCTGGCCCAGATTGGAACCAAGGTATGGAGCCCAGAAAGATTTTTTTTTGCTCGGGAGTTACCTCGAAAGGAGTACCACTTGGCAAGGAGTTTAAACCCAAAAGGTTGCCCTCGAGCGGTTTAAGACTTGAACCGCGGTGCAAAGCCTTCGAGAATGCCCTTAGACAAACTTTGGCGGAATCCAATTAAGGTACATCGCCGAAGAGGTTGCACTTGAGTAGGATCAAGATATGATCCAAGGTGCAGAGCCTTGAAATGTTAAACCTGAACTGGTCCAGATCAGAACCAAGGTGCAAAGCTCAGAGAGGATACACTTGAGCTGACCCAAATCAGAACCAAGGTGCAGAGCTCAGAGAGGTTTTTGTGCCAGAGGCTTCAAGTGCGCTTGGACTTCAACTTTGATTCAGAGCCCCTAGCAAGGTTGACCGAGTAGGCTCAGTGCCTTAGCGAGGACGGCCGAGTCGAGAAGTATGAGATGTGCTTCGACTTTTAGTTGGGTCAGAGCCCCATGTAAGGTTGGCCGAGTAGGCTACAAGCCTTAGCGAGGATGACCGTCCTCCTACTATTTATAGTGGTGTTACATTTTTGTTTAAATACCGTCTAGTTTTAGACTAATACGAGTAGGGTGTCTCCTGTCCACGCAGGGGAAAAGAACGACACCATTTTACTTAAAGTTCAATCTAAAGAAAAATGCTTACAAATGTCAGAGGTCATTAATCTGCCTTATCTTAAAAATATTTAAAACATAAATTAGCCTATGTTCGTCTATCTTCGCTTCATAAATGCACATCTTTAGTGTGGGCAACTTGTTTCATCGAATACTCTTGATGATGCATAGCGAACCTCGTTCTTTAGTGGGCGACTTGGTATCCTTTAGCTTTTTGCTTGATAGCCCATTCATTTTTGCATTTGTTCATGCTTTACTAACCCGGCTTACTATCCTGCTCTTTAATCAACTTTTTGTATGCTATTGGAATTTTAGTCTGTAATAACGTAAGTAGTCCGCTACAGCATATGTCACCTCCGCATGCGTTATGATTCACCATGCATGTTAATACACCTGTACTCACATTTTTGTTTTTGATGTCATCATCAACTATAAGAGTGTTTAGTAAATCACATATCTTATGAGAAACACATAGCATAAGAGCATAAGAACGTTAGCGTGGGGTGTTAGCATGTAGTACACATAGCTAAACACATTAAATAACATAAACTCAACACACAATTGCGTATATGAAATATGGCCGATGCAGATAGATGAATATACAAACAAATGCAGTATATGCAGTATGTTTAAAGCTGTATACATCAGTTGGTGCAGTTAAAGTCCATTTGAGGCATAGAGATTTTATGAAGCATATACAGACTTAATATAACAAAGCCATCAAACATCTTAACATGTCGTGTTGTACCGAAAGCATATTATAGGGAGATACACTTATCTATCAATGTCGGTGTTGGCACTGCGATCGTTCCGGTTTGGGTGTGCATCATTGCCACTAGCTGGCTAATATGAGATCGTCAACTTGTCCATAAATCGCACCAGCCCCGTTTACCCAAGAACTGTGGTCCTGCATAAATGATGGTCGTGTCTTCGACATTTTCAGCGAGATGCTTGTGAACATTAGTCATTGCTGCCGTTCGTCAACTGCCTTCCCGGCTTAACGACAGCTTCATTCACGGCAACCTTCGAGATCGCGGTTAAGATTCTGGTCTGGCATATCTCGACTTGACTTCTGCAATAACCCAGAGCAATTTGGAAACACCTCGTTGATTTCTAACAGCTTTTCTCCGGTTCTTTTGTGAGAAACCTGCTATTAAAATCACACACTATGCAACAGACAAGCAATCATCATTGTAAGACGTTACGAGTATTATTATCACAATTTTAACATGACCTCCAATATCAGTAGGCGCAAGTAATAAGAAACATATATTTAAGCTGAAAGCCAGCACGTCTGTCACCGTTTAATTTGATTTACTAGTTAGAATAGCTTTATGAAGTCCACTTAATCATCCCATTGAAACTTAGAAATGGCTCAGGCAACAATTATCTAGTATAAAAATAACACATGGTAAATTAGGATGCAGTATGAGTCTTATGCTTATGACATATGCATCATGAACTTTCATATCTTGATATCAATAAGTTATTGAGTAAGTTATATGACCAAAACATGTGTACTGACGACTTTATTGAAATATGAACCACGTTGTCGTCGACCAAAATAAGATACACACCAGTGTTTTATATCGGTAATTTCATTTTGATAAGGGAATTCCACATATATGATATCTTAACACGGTTCACCACAGACACTGGTCATAAATAAATTGCAATTCTATTAATTCATAAGCATTATGAGTGAGCGACTTATCTTTGGATCCCGTCATTGATGAAGAGAATTGAGGACTGGCTCCAACCCCTGCAATTTTTGGCATAGCCATCACAACACTTAAATTTGAAAGTCATGCGTCTAGTTTGTCCCTTGAGCTTTAAACCCAGAAGTCATGGTTGAATGGGTGCAGCAGTGCAGTTGGTTCAATGGGTGAGTCAGCCTCTTATTCTTCCTATTGGGTTGATCTGTTGTTGTATTTGATCAGCCTTTTCAAACAAATGCATCATCTTACAACATAGATGGATTTGTAGGCCTACATCTCAGACTTCAATCATGCTACAAGTTAGCACTCGAGTGAACATTATTATGATATAACTATCATTGTCATAATTCATATTATTCAGTCAAACATTAGAGGTTCATGGAAGACAAGAACAACCACAAAGCATAGCAATTTATCACAAGCATTATTAAAAATTAGGCTCAATTCTGGAGTTAATAATCATCCCTGTGTTAAAATATGTCAGACACGAGAACTGGTTCGTGGGGAGGAAGTTATCCAATTGTACAAGTAAGATCAACGTACAAATTACAACATACCAAAAGCATGTGATCAATATTGTAAGTAACATAGATATGATATTCTAACAACACATCCAAATTGCAAGCACTTAGCAAATTTGCCTTATCGGAACCGCCATGTAGCGAAGTTAAGCGTATATTTGATCAATAGAACACGTAAAATAACTTATCTTTTCATGGAGGAATTGGCATGGTTTCCGGCAACCGAGCTAGGAGCATCCAGATAATTGTAGAGAACTCCATGGTCTGTTCTGGCTTTTATGTCACAAACAACTAACTGATGCCAACCCTTCTCGTAATAATGCCAGTTAAACTCATCAATTGTTGAGAAACGAGTAGCATTTTGTCGAACTAATACTGTCTCGGACTGGGCCACCCTGACTTTTAACTGAGGCCCCAATTCTGAAATTGAAACTCGGCGGCCGTCGCCGCAGTGAGGCCGAAATATTCACCTCAGTTTGGTGAGGGACCCAGACCTTGCCCCGATTTGATAATAGCAAACTTGCTTCGTTTGCGACTGATGAAGTATCGGAGTGGGGAGCACCGTACATGCATCATTTGGAGATTCTGAGATCCCAATAAGGATTTACAGATGTCTTGATCCAATTACCCTATGATGAATTTGTGAGGGCTCCTACCACAGGTAACCATGACCTTCCATCGATAGTGATGCGTTGCGCTGTACCGGTTGATCGTCAGAGTCATGGCCGTTGCGGCTACAGTGACCTTTTGGTACAGGTTTATGAAGTAGGCAATATCTTTATTAGTGAGTTTTTTTATTTGCCTAGCACAAGCATAAAGTTGTGCGCAAATCGTGATTTGTCACGCCACTTTCATCACCCTCAAGATTATATAGGTATGGAGCTTCAGGCTCAAGAAAGTTTTATCGGACTTTACGGTGAGTGTTAAATGTTGTTATTAAATATTAAATATGAGATTTCTCTATTATTTGGAGGATGATAGGGAGAACCTTAAACAAGTGAAAGAATGTTGTTTATGATATTGAGAAATTTGAAGGTTTACACAAGTATGTCTGAGCTCCAAGCAATGTGTCTTGCTTACTCCTCAGTCGTCCGGAGTCCTATTATATGATATGTAGTATCTCTTTGAAATGTGTCAAAGAGAATTAGAAGTGAGAGAGAGAGGTTTTTCCAGGGATCTATTCCACTCTCTAAGGACTCCTTATATAGGCAAGTCTTTGGCCTAATGGTCATTAACGTGTTTGTAACGTCTATAACTGTCCCTGAGTATTATAACGGTTGTAACCGTCCATAATGGCTCGTAACCGCTACATATTGGATTCTATAACAGTAACCAACCCGGCCTGACACAACCCGACTTAGCATTTATTTGTCCTCCTTGACCCTTTATCCATGTCTTACTTTTTTATATCTCCTAGCTCAGACAATAGATCTATGTATAACATCGTTATTGATAGTTACTAAAGAATTTGTATATAAGTCAAGTTCATTGATATAATCAAGGTCGCAAAATTCACCAGGTATTCTCTATAGAGCTAAAATATCCAAGTCACAGAGAAATAATTTGTGAGAGAATGTATGAGTATGTGTCCTTTCTCTAAATTCTCCAAGTCTTTTTAATTGAAGCACTTATTTTAATGTCATTTATTCTGGTTGTTGTCTATTTTCTTCTTCCGGAGTAATTATATATTGTTTCAATTAGAGTTTATGTTCAATTGGTTAACATTCAAACATCTAAGTTTCAATCACAAACAATTTTCTTTGTACGCTTCTGCACGAATTGTCCTTAGGATTTTTTCGAGTTTAATCCATTAATTGAACTAAAAATCGTGATTGTTTTGCTAAAAATACTAGTAAACAAACTGACACGCCCACTTGACCCTTTTGTGCAAGAAATTTTAACTTCTGTAGAAAATTGTTGTATCTTTTATTGTTTAGTTTGTTCTTCATACATGAGATGTTTTCAGTTGTCGGGTGTTTATGCGTATGAGGAGTGGTAAGACTCTTATTGAGATGACTCGTCTAACGTTAAACACCCATTCCTCAGAACAATGCTCCAAACATAGAAGAATAACCAATCAATTCAACGGTTGGAAATGTAAGAACTTCAACAACCGTTGGAGTAACTTCCTCTGTTATAAGCCAGATATCAGTGTTGACGATATCACAAGAAATGACGGTTTCCCCACCACAAGGAACAAGTGTTACAACTACCCTCAGGGTCACACAAGCAATAATTGGAGACACTAGACCTTCTTTTCTCCTAAGTTTTACGCTACCCCTTAGTAGTAGGTAATATCCTTATGGCATGCCAACAACGATGATAACAGACCTACAAACAAGTGCATCTATGTATGCAGATAATGAAATAGTCGTTGCATCCCCTATGAATCCATACTTCGCGTCGAGGTCTGCTATAAGCAACCCTAGTTAAATGGCACAACCACAAGGAGGGTTAGGACACGCCTTACAAGTTATGTCATCCTTAACTACTAATTCCTCTTGGCTATGAGGCAACAAATGGATGACAGTAACCATGATATGGTGAATATGCTTACATAACAGATTGGTATTGTGTTCAATCCTTTGATTCAAAATACAAACCATAGTTATCAATAATTGGCTAACCAAATGGGTCGAATTGTAGAATTCTTTGGTGCTCCCCGGGTTCCTATTCAATCAATCCCTCAAATCCAAAATGTTAGGCCTGTTAAAAATTTAAAAGTTTCAAATTATGTAGAGATTCCTAATAATCAAGGGCAACAAGTAAGGCCCTAATAGGTCGAACAACTCATACCAAGGGTAGTTAGGGATGATGTAGGTCGAAATGACCCAGAGATAATTATAGTTAATAAGAATCAGGATGTTGACCAAGTAATTAGAAATGTCCAACAAAATAATTTTGGCCCAAAATGGCCTTACGGTTGGCCTCCATGGGCCAAACTTTGTTTTTATGCTATCTGAATATGTATTGCAGACTGCACTACCAGGGGTTGGAAAATCTCCGAGCACATCGCTCGCTTTAAATCAAAGGCGGAGGATCTAGCCAATAATGAAAATTTGAAAATGAAATATTTTTCCAACTCCTTGACCAAGAATGCCTTCACGTGGTTCACCACCTTACTCCAAATTTCATATATACTTATACATCCCGAAAATATTTATCCTAGTCGGGTTATAAAGTCGGTTAGAGACAAGAGTAAAAAGATATAAATGGCTATATAGTAAAGGGGAGTCGGGTAGAAACCTTACTCGGGTACCAATCCCGCTTGACCGAGTACCGGGTAGTGACCTTACCCGGGTACCAGTTCCTTTGGACGTGTTCTCAAACGATACTTGGTGGTATAAAGTCGATTAGGAACCTGGTCTTAGGCATAAAACATAACGGTTGGCGGCTGAGTAACTATATATGTTATGATAGTTTAAATACACACATTTATGGAAAACAACGGTCGTTATGCTTACCTTAAACACGAGAATATATAGAGACGCCTCTTCAATTAGGCTCTTAAAGAGTCATTTGAAGACTATTTAAAGGGGCTCCTATCAAAGAGATGAGCAAGACATTCATTTTGGATCAATACACATCACTGTCGTAGCACCCAAATCCCAAAATATCATACATAAATCTACCCTTGTTGCGACTCTCCTTGTTCCTGCAAGGAAGTAACTCGTTTAGTGTTTTTAGCAAGAACCTTTGGCGCCCACCGTGGGGCCTCGGTGAAACTTTACTAGGCCATACATCACATTCAAAAGAATGTCATCTGAACTCTAGACATGGAACAACTATTGGCCATGGTGGATGCCATTCGACAACAGAACTAAACATTGTAGGACAACATGCAAATCCTGTAACTACAAAGCCAAGCGAATGGAGAGTAGGAGGAGGAGATTCTTGAACCCCAACCACTCTCACAAGCAATATGGGATGACCAAGTCCCCGAAATCTTCAAGTCAACGTTGCTCACATATTTTGATGGCAAAACCAACCCCTGATGGGGTCTGTAACGTATAGCCTAAATATAGTACTGCAAGTGCACAGCCTATCGAAGTAATATATAAGATTATCGAACCACAGAGACCAATTGTCAATCTATCAACTCTATTGCTAAGGTGCTTATCTAAGGTGAACAAGAATATTGATGTGAGTGCAGTGCAACAAAGTAAATGAGCGAGGTAAATAGCAGTTTAAAAGACAGGTTGGAATGTAAATCATGTAATCAGATATTGGTCCGGTCATGCGTAGATGAAACTACTTATGGGGCAGTATTTTCTATTGATAGCAAAGAATCAATTTAACGGGAACTTGTAGCTTTTGACTACTAAGAACCGAATTTACTCTTTAAATTAAATTCCTTTATTGTCACATATAAAGGGTGCCTTCCGCGTTAAAGAGGTAAACCTATTTTTAAGAAATTGATAGTTTTGACTTAACAGAAAAGTAATTTTACTTGGAAAGATTAACTTAAAGAGACTTTTGGCTTTTGACCAAGAGTCAGATTTCAAACCTACAAACGCGTCCGAAAATAGTTTCAAAATCGTTTTCTAAAAAGGTCAATGATTCCTATTTAACCAATCAATGGCTTTCGCTCTTTTCGTTTGGTTAAATAATAATCAAGTCGTATCATCAGTTTGGACGGCTTTCGATCTTACCCAATAAACATTTAAACATAATTGACTTAAGTTAAAAGCAAAACATCCCCAGAGTATTTTCACTAGCATGATAATTGGAACACGACCATGATGACAATCATTACATCCAAACCTTTATAGTTTAGCCAGACATAATAAGTGCGAGTCTATAAAACGTGTAGACTATGATAAGAGCGAGTAAGTAAAAGAGTGCGAGTCTATAAAACGTGTAGACTATGGTAAGAGCATTTAGAGTCTATAAAACGTGTAGACTATGGTAAGAGCATTTAGAGTCTATAAAACGTGTAGACTATGGTAAGAGCAATTATAAGTAAAGAAATGCAATAAAATAGAACCTTGCTCCAGTCGGAGACTTGAATCTGATACAAATCTGCGGAATGGTAAGGCTGGTATGATGAACTTCAACCAAAGTGCTCCAAGACTCGATTACAACTCAATCTACACCGCAATAACTCCCCGATGTGAAGAGATTATTACTTTACAGAAACTGATAGTATATGGCTTAAGATTGTACTAAGCTTGGATGAAACTAAAAAATGAAAATCGAAAACTATTTATAGAGGATCCTTGAGATGCGTAAAGACCAGCATGCCCCTCAACTTCTTCTGAGCGGGAAACTTTTGTGAAGGCCGCGGGCGCGGTGGCAGTGGCCGCGGGCGCGGTGGCTGGAACTGCCAGATCGTGGGAACGTGGCAGTTGGTCTCTGGGTGAAAGTGGGACACGTCATCGCGTTCCCTGTAGCCGGCGCGGCGCTGAACGCCATAAGTGCAGAATATCTTGAAAAACCCTAATTTCTTGGCGTTTTGGCTCGTTTCTTCACAGAAGGCTCTGAAATGACAAGAATCCTGCAAACAAAGGAAAAAGGAACATAATACGAGAAAATGATAATAAAAACTAAGGAAAACATGTGATATTTGAGTCAGAAACATAGTGCGATTTAGTGCGATCAAATCCTCCCACGCTTAGACCTTTGCTTGTCCTCAAGCAACAACTCTTTAGAAGTAGATGAAAGAAAATTATGGTGTATACAGGTTTTGGGCAAAGAGGGCTTCTAAGTTCGAGTAAGGGTGT